AAAAAAAAAAAAAAAAAAACTACCTCGAACTCCAGCCACAAACTGAACTGATTTTAAGAATTATTCTAACAAAAATACATGTGTAAACAAGATTATCAAGTTCCTATATATACCTATATTATACATAAGTAAACAAAATCAACAAAATATAGATGCCTAATATGCAATCTATCATCCACATATAAAAAGAAAAAAAGAAAAGAAAACACTTGTGCATGCATACAATTGTTACACATTGTCATTATTTTCACTATCCCCTCCAAAAAACTCACCAGTTTTCTGTGGCAAAAGAACTGTGCTACACAAGGCAAGAACAGAACAAGACTCCCTTCTCTACAAGCTTTGATCATGCAACAACAACTTCAACTCTCCTTAAACAACTCTTCCCAGATCAAAACCTTGAAATCCTCGGCCGAGTACTTGAACACAAAACTCGTCTCGGAACTACTTCTCAAATTGTCGAGAAAATCGGCATAGGCCTGCACCAAATTCTCGTGCAACTTACAACGCAACTCGTTTCTCATCTCCGGGTCTGGCACAACCCACGACAAGCCCAAAGCCCGGAACTCCTCATACGCGCGGTTAAAATCCCTAATCCTCCTCCTAACCGCACTTCGCGAAAGCCTAGGTTTGCAACACCACGTGACATAAAGACCCTTGTCCTCAAAGCACGCCTCGAACCCGGCGCAAGCGGACCCCACGAAATTCCCGAGCGCGGCCTTCGAACCCTCGACCAATTTCGCCACATAAGATTCCCCGACCATTCGCCTTAGCCCTTCCGAGCCTTCGATTCTCTGTAAAACGTGTTGGAAGTTGTTCGCCATAAACAGAAGGCCCGACGAGGAATTCGTGTGGGCCTGGCGCTTGGAATCGAGATTCGTCAGCAAAATCGAGACGATCAAGATCACGTGTGTCTCGAGGAAATTGCGCCCACTCGTGTCCTCCGCGAGATCCCCAAAATCGAACGAGGGGGCCCGTTTTATCAAATTCGCGAGTAGGTCCCTGTTTTGCTCGATAATTGCGATCTGCTCCGTCACGTACGTCGTCAATTGACAGACCGAACCCCGGTTGTCGACCGGATAAATCGAGACCTCATTTAGGACACAGCGCTCGAAATCATGCAGCATTCGGGCCGAATCCTGCTCGATAACCGAGAGAATTTCCGAGCATTTGTTTCGAATCCCGAGTCCTAATTCGGAGCTGAAGAGGGCATTAGCACTAGGCAGAACCCAAACAAAAGCACTGTAAACCCCTAACACATAAACCATTCTCTCATAGGGCTGATTGATTATTGCCTCAGCAACAACAAAGGAAAACAGGCTAAAGGCAAAATCTTGAACTGTGCCCACAAAGCAGAGATCTTCTGCATAATTATTGCAGGAATTAATGTCATCTACAAGAACAAGCCCCTGAAAAATGAGGTGACACAGTTTTTTCTCCATCTCAAACAAGATTTTAACACAAATCTTGCAGACTTGAGCCCAAGATTCCATTTTTACCTTCAGCTCGTCCCACGTGTGCCGTCTCGTGCCGAGGGCCGAGCTGCTCAGCTCCTCAAAACGCAGTCGTTTGAGCTGCCCCTGCAAGAAATTCCGCCTCACGCGCCGGTAGACGTCGACGCACTCCCTGACATCGTCGTTGGAGCTCATTCTCTGAGCAATGTTTCTGAGGTAAGCGACCACGTCGTCGTTCGGCGGCTCGTGGGCCACGTATTCCTCGTACCTGAACAGATAGGCCGTGCTGTCGGTGGCGAAAGTGGACTCGGTGGTGGAGACGGGGGCCACGGCCTGGCTGTCGGACCAGCGGTCGAGGACGGCGCCGAACTCGTGGCGGAGCCGGGCCATGGCGATGGACACCAGCTCGGCGGTGAAGCCGACCCTGGGGGCGCCGGAGGGGGGCGGCGACGGCTGGCGGAGGCGGTCAACGGCTTCGAAGTAGTGGCGCACGTCGCGGCGGCCGGAGTCAAAGATCAGCTCGTGGTCCGGCTTAGCGCGCCAGTGGGAGATGGTGTCGACGGCGGATTGCGAGGAAAGGGAGAGCGAGGAGCCCATCACGGTGTGGAAGGTGGATACTATGGTCTTCAGCATCAATTTTATGCAAAGAACCCAATAAAAATTGGATCTTTAGACCAAAAAGATTTGAATTTTATGCCCTGTTCCTTTTGATTTGGAGATTTGGGTTTAGAGATTCATTTTTTGGATGTGAAAATGCAATGAAAACATTGCAATTTGCAAATGGTGGAATTTTGTTATTAATCTATTGATATTTTTTGGGTGATTGAGCAGGATTAATATAAGAGTCTTGACATAAAGTTTGTATTAATACATTTTATACACCACAATAATTTTAAAATTATAATTTTTACTTTTACATAACAAATTATATCAAAATAGCATTATTTTCGAGATCAATATACGAGTTGAACAGTGACAATACGGTTTTTTTATGACAAATTATTATTAGATTGTCTAACCATTACACATTCGTACTTGAAAAGAAAATGCATAGCTATAATATGTAGTGTTGTGAAAGTATGACATTAAAATATGAAAGTATGCATATTTGTTTAGAATAGTATGAGTATCGAATAGTTAATGTCTAACAGAAAATCTACATTTTATGGACATATTTTATATCCGACTTAAGTAAATGTAGTGTTCATGAATATACATATTTTCATAAGATAATTACAATACTTAAAAAAAAAAAGAAAAAAAATATAACATCTTCAATATTCTAAAAATACATTCTTATTTTAAAAGCACCGGTCTAACTAGCAAATGGATATAATCAAAATCAATTTTGATTGGATTTTGAGTTAAAGAGAGTCATTTTAAATAGAATTGATTGAGTGAGTAATTGAGTTTGTATTTAAATAATATTTAAAATGTAATAATTAAATACTTAAAGTTGTGATGTAAAAGTTGGAGACGTTATTGAAAATAATATGCAGTTCAAAATATGCGAGTTAATAAATAATGAATTAAAAGTAAAATTAAAATATATGAGTGAATGAATATTGAATTAAAGTTAAATGATGTATGATAATTTTTTCTTTTTTTTTTGGGTACAAAGAAGGAGGCCAAGACATAAAGCTACCGAAGTAGGACTTGTCTAGGATAGGCCACACCACGGATGTCGTGTGCTATCCATAAAAATTATTAATTAATATTATTTAATTATATTTATAAAATGTATGCGAATTAAATGGAATTAAATTTAATTTTCATTTTGAATTAACATGTATAAAAAAAAAATCTCATCAATTAAAACAAGTGATATTTTTCGCGCGCGTCTTTCGGTCAACGAACTTTACGGTACGCGCACCGAACACGCATAAGTTCCACTAGAACTAGTTGACCCAGTCAGACAGTACTACACAACAGCTGTTTTAATTCGAAAAGAGTTTCATTTTATTGTGATTTTTTAATTTTTACTACAAAAATCATTAATGTAGAATAGCTCATTGTTTTGTGACCCGGACCGGCGGGTCGATCCAGAGCCGAAATCAGACCGGATAGGTTATTTGGACCGAGTAACAATGAACTCAGTCAAAACCCGGACAACTCGGTCTTGACCCGGTCGACATGGGTCATTGACCCGGCCAGGTTGACCCGAGCTCTATAAATTTTTTATTTTATTAATACTTTTTATATAAAAAATAAAAACTATGTTTATATAATGACATAGTAAATATTCATTGTGAGATTCAATATTATTAACACTTATATGTATAAATTTTATATACAAAATATTTATTTTTGTTACTT